TTGCGTTCAGTACCAACAAGGGACTGCGATCATACTAGATTTCGCCTTAGTACTCAGCCTTTAAAGACACTTACCGCGATAAAGTGGTCCTCAAAATGAATTCGTGCTGTTTGGAACCCTCTACGCCTTGACGAAGATGATAGCACTTTCATCCCTCAATATGGCGCGATGAGGAAGTTATAGCGATTTCCACAAGGCTCGCTAGGCTCGCTGAGACGGTAGGTGGACGAGGCGTCCGGTCCCGAGCTGCTTCCGTCCCTTTAACGCCCGCGCGGCGCGTCTCGTGCGCGGCCCTTCTGGCACTTAGCCAAAGTTGGTTTATAGCTGTTTATAGCTGGCTGGAAGCGCAAATTCTTAGAAAGCATACATAGGATAAGAGAGAGAGGCAAGAAACTAAAGAAGGCAGTGAGGAGGATTGAAGAAAAAGCACGGGGAGATGAGTATCACGTACGAAAGTCTGTTTCTCCCGCTTGTTGCTTAGAGCATCCGCATCGCGCGTAGCAGGAGAGAATATAACAGAACAGCATGAATACTGAGAAGAGCTCCTCTTTCTCCCAGCTCCACTCTGACAGAAAAAACCTTGTAATTATCAGTGGAACACGTTTTATCGAGACATCGATGCCCGGAATTTCTCGACACACGCAAGTGATGGATTAAACGGGAGCTCTCCTCTCCGACAACCGTCGATTCAGGGCGTAGCTGTTTCCGCCAGTTTCCTATTTGGCCCGTTCAAGCCCGAGCCACGCGCCGCGGTAGGACGGTCGTAATTGCGATTCGAAAGTATCCTATTTCGAAGTCGGGACGCAATTGCGGCCGCCGCACCGATCCCGGCAGCCACAGCCGGCGCACTCGTCCAGGCCCCGCCCCCACTGCTAAAGGGAGGTCCGTGTTCCGGGTGTTCGCGAGGTTTTTTTTTCCACTGGGGGTTACAAATGGGCCACTGCTTCGTTACTGGGCACCAATTACCCGAACACTTTATCGCGGTAAGTGTCTTTAAAGGCAGCGTCCGCGATCTGAAAACGAACGCGGAGTCCGCAATCACAGCAGAAATCCCACTCTTGCGGCTCGAAATCGATTGGTTGACGAGGGCGGAGTCAACAGAGCCGGGCTGACGCCTCCTGTCCTGTTAATCCCGCCCCGACTGGTTGACAGTTATCAATGCTTGCTGGCATTGATATACGCTGAATTTCTAGAGTTCCGAGGCGGCGACGTGTATTGGAGAACTCACCAGAAGTTTGCGAAACTCGTCCACATGCCTTAAATTTCATAGGGTCTTATTTCACGCTCTTCCACACCTTTTTCCTGCTTTTTTGATTAGTGCTTCATTGGCCACCTGTTCTAGCAAATGTGACCCCTGAAACCTGCCAAAGTCCATCGCGGGCGCTGTCTTTAAGGAGTATTGGAAAAGTACAAACAATTGAACACACCGCCACAGTATCTCCCTCAGACAATTCTGCGCTTGATTTTGGGTAAATTCCTATATGAAGTCTAATTGAGTTTATAAAGCGAAGCGGTCACAACCAGAAAGAAACAAACAGAGAAAACGAGAGCAAGCGATGTATAAACCAATGTGCAGTAGTAGAAGGTTTTTCCGCCACCCATAAACATCAGAAGACATATGATCATCCTGAAAGAATACGATTGAGCAGTGATGTACGTAACAAATATGCCACGTCAAAAATACGCAAAATACAGGCGTAAATGCAAGTGCTTAGCGCATTTTCATCGTTCAAGCTCATGGTGATCTCGTAACATCCATAAAACAAAACAGGCTAACGCATGGAGTGTGCAGGTTCTCCACATCAAGGAAGAATTAGTGCAGAAGGTTGGCAAAAAATAAAAGAAAATGAAATTAGCATACCCGAAGAACTTGTACGTGCTATACGCCAACGAATGCCATACTGACAAGCTCTGAAACAATTGGATGATATATATCGGAAGTAAGCAAAACATTTCTAGCAAATTGAAAATCCGGAATCCTAAGCTTACCTGCGAAATGTTCATCACATATTTGCTCACAAAAATGATTATGTTTTCAATGATTATCCATATAAAAGCATTACTCGTGAGAATGCCCAACATCTCCGGAGAAAATCTGGAAGGTGGGAAATATAACCAGTGGTTGAGAACAATGTTCGCGGAACGAAAAAAAACCGTAGTGCTTGGGAACTAAAAGGTCAAATTCACAAACTTGTCTTAGTAAAGTAAAGTAGCATAAGTATGAAAGAATACTAACGAAAATAACTACGAGTAACAAGTATGAAGAATATTAATTAAATCAAGAGTTTAGTTACAGAACTCACCGTCCCTGTGTTCCTAAAACGAATCCAGAAACAATTATATATGTTATGAAAGCCATCAAAGGAATATAGAGATCAGGGGCATTAACATCATCTTTGGCAGGCACAGGTTCATCCGAACCAGCGTACTTCAAAGACCAGTCCTGAATGAGCGAATTACACTGGGATAAATGAAAATGAGTCAGTAATTCAAAAATTACCACAATGAGAAAAGGGAACAGCAGAAACTCCGACGCTTCTTCCCGACATAAGATTGTCACGGGAGAAGAGTATTTGAGATTGATAGGTGTTGAGGTACTTAGATATCTGAAAAAGTGATTTGTTATTCAACAAGTTTGCACTGCTTGTAGCACGCTTTCATTGCTCAACAGACGAATAAGGGATAAAGCATAGTCGGCATCAAAGCTCCCAATTTGGCCGCAATAAGGAGTAAGGGAAAGACTAGGCCTACCAGAGAGGTTTTGCGCGTTTATGACTTACCACGAGACAATCCTGTTGCAGTTTCATGAGTGTGAAAAAAACGATATAGGTAACAACCTAGCAATATTTAAAAAATCAAAGCATATTCATGCGAAGCGGCGGAAGTGCTGCAGTGGCAAGTGGCATAGTTTGAGGATTCCTGCATCGGTTCCCTCCCAGCCCAAAAAAGCGTTCTCCGCGGTGAGCTGATGCCCTATCCACTCCTTATCCCTGAGCCAGAGTAGGCGTGGCATTTGAACATGGCACGGAACTGGTTACTCGTGGAATATTCCAGTCTGGGACAACTGTCATCTTGTTCTGTGTTGGACAGAGACACGACAACAATTGTGTCAAGATGAAAATATCTCACAGAAGCATAGACATAAGTTGAAACAGGAGGCCACGCCTACCCGATCTCAGGGATTTTGAGTGTATGCCAACGAGGATAAAAACATTAAGTTGTACAAGTTTACATCGGAATGGCCCCTCGCAAGTCATTGTAGGCCTATCACATTCACTAAGCCACTACGACTGTAAATGGATTCTTGCTTGTTTCGCTACAATCAAGGGAGCGTGTCAGGCGTGATAAGTTTGGCGCAGTGTCAATCCCGTTCTCCACCAGTTGTCGAAGCGAGCAAGAGCAAGTGACAAGACCGTATCATATCGCTCATATCACTCGTTTTCTACCAGCTGTTGTCATACACCCATTTCAACAACTGGCAGAGAATGAGTTTGGCGCCCATTCGCCCACCTGAACACGACCCTCCACCAGGAGCGAACCAGAGTATAGAAGACGTG